GATATTCTATTTATATTTCTCTAATAATATAAGCTCAAATTATATTAACTTTAAAGTAAAATGTTCCCACTTAACTCATGTGCAGTATCATCAGTGGTATTACCACGCTTTGGGAAATGCTGCTGTAGTACGTGGGACGAGGTTAACAAAACTGAGAAGTCACTTCTGTTCTGACAGCAGATAAGATGCTTTCTATTAATCTTGTTTAACATGACATTTTAAATATTACATTTTTTAGGAACCTGATTTGGATGGTCTGGCACGACAGGCAGCAGAAAGGAAAAAAAAAGCAGAAATGAGGCATAAAGAGGCCCTGAAAATACAGAAAAATAAAAAAGAAATGTTAACGAAACAGAAAACCTGGTAAAGTAAAATTAATTTTTACCATACTCTCAACTGAAACTGACTTGGCTGACAGTAGAGGGTACATTGGATACTGTATAAGCAGATATTAAATAAAAGTCGTATAGTATAGCCACTGAATTGTTAAACTGGATTTAAAAATAATGCAGTATGGGAGTAATTTGCTTAGGTGAACATAGTAACAAACGCGGTTTCTCTTTTAGTTGTGTTTTGATCATTCTGGGTTTTGTAGTGATTACTAAGTTTCTGGAGAATGTGTGGTAACACCGAATGTTATTGTCCAGTAACACTCATGTCAACCAAAAGGGAAAAAAAGACTCAGTGCACTTAAAACATTAAAAGAAGTTGTGGATTCTTTGAAAGTAATTGGTGAGTGTTTTTGCACATTGTAAAAATTACGGATCCAGCAGTGGTCATTTTATACAGTGGCCCATATTTATTAACATTTCTAGTTTCTTTATTCTAAACCATTCTACAATAAAGATTGTAGAATGAAGAGTAAATGTTTCTTGGGTCAGTCTCCACCATAGAGCTTTATGTCTTTAGATACACCTCTTGACTATTTGCCCAAATTATTTTATTTGCATGCATATAGCCCTTTAAATTTCAAGAGTATTAATATCAATTTTAAAAATGATTCTTACATATCTACTGTATATAGACTGTTGAAACAGCATACTGAACTTGTGGGATCAGAGTGAAGGATTTCTTGAGATCCTATGTTTTTTATATTTTTACTCCCAAGGATTATACTATATTATTACCTGAGAGATTAATTTATGACATCTTTTGTTCTCTTAAGGCATATAAAAGCTCGAAAGGCAGCACTGCTTGTGGAAAAAGAAAGATCTGCCAAAATTACAAGTCTACAACCTCCTCCTCCAACTCTTTTTGAGGTGAATTACTTTGAATGTTGAGAAGAACTAAGTTATAATAATTCTTCTTTACTCTTAAAATTCAGTAGAGTCAAAGTAACCATCATTTGTTTAAACTTAATTTTTAATTGCACAGGTTACACATGAGTATATCTGGAGTGTTTAAAAATAATACTAGCTATCATCATTTTACCCGTAAATAGTATGTAACTGTGATGCATAAGGACTTTTTTTTTTTAAATGTAACTACAATGCTGTTATTATTCCCAGTGTCATCTAATACCAATCAAGGTTCAGTTTTCCCCAGTTGACTCAAAAAAACTTTTTTGTTGTTTGAAAATCTGTAATAACTTTGGTTTTTAAAAACCATGTTAGTTCTGCAGTTTGTTTTTTTAATGCTCTTTATTTGTTGAAAAAAACTGGGATATTTGTGGTATAGAATTTACCACACTATGGATTTGGCTGATTGTAAATAGTCACCATGTTAAAGAAATTAAAGATAATTTAGTTAATTTGCATAAGATCTCATGAAGGGGAGGGTCCTATTCTTTTATGAAAGTAGAATGTGTGCTTTTATAATTTGAAACTCATTTTGGATAAAACAGTTTATTAAATAATGTGGAAATTAATTTTGAAAGGTATTAATTATCTTGTTCACATTAGCTGGTGTTTTTAATCTAAAAAGTTAGAAGTAAAAGAAAAAAAATCTTATACGCATAGGAAAAAAACTAGTTGCCGTCAAGTCTACTCCAACTCACGGTGACCTTGACTCATGATAACCCCATATATGCCAGAGTAAAACAGTGCTCCATAGAGTTTTCAATGGCTGATGTTTCAGAAGTAGATCGCCAGTCCTTTCTTCCTAGGTGCCTCTTGGTGGACCCTGACCTCCAACCTTTTGGTCACAGTTGAGCACATTAACCATTTAGACTACCCAGGGACTCCATACAAATACTACCAGTTGCCATTAAGTCAGTGCTAACTCATGGTGACCCTATGTGTTGCAGAGTAGAACTGTGCTCCATAGGGCTTTTAAGGCTATGACCTCTTGGAAGCGGATCACCAGGCCTTTCTTTTGAGGCCCCCCTGGGTGGTTTCAAACCACCAACTTTTCAGTTAGTAGTCAGGCACAAATCGTTTGTGCCACCCAGGGACCTGTGTACAAATACTCGGGATATCTAATTTTGTTTTTTATCAGGATTCCTGCTTTTATGTTGAGCCATCTGCACATAACATTTGCTCCGGCAAGATTCAGATTAAGAGGCAGATTTCAGTCGTTCTTCTGTACCATGTGAAATGATAAAGTCTAGGCAATATTTTATCCTGACTGCCTTTTGACATGATTTCTAATGTTTATAATAAGCAGCCAGGGTCAAAAATTTACAGAAAGCACGTGAAATGTTGTCTGTGTGAGTGCTTTGGTGGGTATGAATTGTATGTAAATGTATGGTTGTCCTTTTCCCCCTCAACTTTTTATACAGCTAAGTTAAGAGT